CGTTTCGGGCCTAGACCCTTTTTCTGAAGAAGGGTCTAGGCCCGAAACGTCAGCTTTCCTGCTCCTCTGATGCCGTTTGGCCTGCTGTGTTCATCCAGCTCTACACCTTGTTATCTCAGATTCTCCAGCATCTGCAGTTCCTACTATCTCTCCCAGTCCATATTTTAATTTCACTTGAACAATATATTTGCTTACATTACCATAATTGGAGGTTGATTCAAGTTATTTGACTAAGATGATCAAATGGGTTCAATCTTCAGTCTGGTGAATAAAAATACCATGAAGCTGTGCTAGAAAGCCTTAATCTTCAATTTCATTGCCCTTTATTGTCAATTCATGAACGACACAGAGCTATATGTTAATCTGTAGGCTCCAAAATCTGATGCTCAGTACAACTACGGTTTTGAGTTTGACACAGCAATGTGTCTCAGGACTCAGACCCCAGACACTGAAACTCCCAATTGGACTAAGTAATATTTCAGCTGTGGAGAGGTTTTCAAAGAGTATTTTACACAGCAGACCTCCTCAACCCCAGGTTTGGAGAATTGAAAATGATTATGAATTTCATCAGGGAACCTGTACATTGGAGAAGTAATGATTCGCGATTGTTTTATTTGATTTGATTTGATTTATAATTGTCACGTACCTAGGTACAGTGAAGAGTTCTGTTTTGCGTGCAGTATAGGCAGAACAAACCATATAAAATGCATCAGGGTAGTAGAGCAGAGTGAGGAATACCACGTTACTGATGTAGAGAAGGTGCACAAAGAGCGAGATCAACATTTAAATTTAAAATTTGAGAGGTCCATTCAGAAGTCTGACAGAAACTGTTCTTGAATCTGTTGGTGTGTGTGTGTGTTTAAGCTTTTGACTCTTCTGCCTGACGGAAATGGTTGGAAGAGATTATAACCATGTGACAGGATGGTTGAAATTTCCTTGAAAGTGTAAAGTGATGGGTGGAATGGGTTGGCTGGCCAGTAATCCTTGGAGGAACACAGTGTTAGGGGAAATAACAGCAACTTTCCTCAAGCCCCACAATAATGAAGAGGCATTTATTTACCTTTTAAGACCTGAGATCAGATTGCCACCTAATACTGCTGGACATGCTGACTAAATCAGTTCAAAAATGGCTTTGAGGTTCAATTGACATTAAAGGAGCTTCATTATAATGGCAGGCAGCAACTTGGAGTACTTACTCAGAGAACTACAGCAGAATGGGGTGTGCAGCTGTTCCTAGGAGATGTCTGTTTCATGATATTGTCACTAGACTAATGGTCCTAAGGCTCAGCCTAACGCTGTAGGGCTATGAATTCGAATACACCAAGGCAACTGGTGAAATTTGAAATCAGCTAATAAGTCTCGAATATAAAGCTGGTCTCAGTGACGGTAACCATGATAATTATCATTGATCATTGTAAAAACTCAACTGATTCACAAAAGTACTCAAGAGAAGGAAATGTCTGTCTGGACAATATGTAAGTCTAGACCCAATGAAAAATTGGGGATGGGCAATGAATGCTGGCATCGCCAGTAATGCCCACATTCCATGAAAGAAAAAAGAAAAGGTTGTCTGTTGTGATGACAACAACGAGATGGTAAATTTTAACACTCCCATTTTTATTAATCTGTTTTCGTCAGGAAGAAGGCCTCAAAATTCAGTTCATTGAATGTAATCTTGGGTCTAACAAGTGATTATATTATTTTGTATATCTCTAACAACACCTTCAGCTCCCAAATAATCCTGCTTTGTGCTTAGGATTTCTTAGGGTTGCTAAATGAATTCACTTCATTACTGGAGTTTGCTACTGAAGACAAACCTCTCTTGATTACTCTGGATGGTTTGGACGAGTTATCTGATGATTACAATGCTTGGAACCTTTCCTGGTTGCCAAGAGAACTGCCAAAAAATGTCTATTTCATTGTTTCTATGTCCGTTGAGGAGGATCAGACAACACTAAAGGTAATAAAGTCTGCTAAGCGACAAAGGTTGACTAATTTGACTCACTATACAGTTTCTACAAATCAATTTGGACACATTTATGAGTGTGGCTATGTTTAGATCCCAAATCATTCAATGCTTACAAGCCAATAAAAAAACAACTGAAAGGTTATGAATCACCAGTTTGTAATCTGGTGTTTATTGTGCTAAATATCAGTGCAGCACAGTAAATCTTAAATAACTCTAAAACTAAATGGAGTTTTTGAAGTTTGGTTACAAAATTGATGCTTTTCTGATAATGTAGTGAACAAAATGTTATTTTATTAATCCTTTTTTGTTAAGATAAACATTGAAGTGTTGAATTGTTCTGCCCAATGACTAAAAATATGCTGCATACAATAGTTGGAACATAACCTAGTCTGTTAGAGAACAGAAATGCACTTTGTCTATTACAGAGTGGGTCTGTACAGTGTGTGAATACTATTTTTGAATGTGTTCAATTTTATGAACATTATGGTCCAAGAAATATTCTGTGATTCATCTTTCCATAGAGAAAGAGACCAGCATGTTGTCCATGAAAGTATCCTTAATCTATATTAAGAGGCAACAGAGATTTTAATTCTGGGTTGCCAAATCCTTGAGATGAAGGGCTGTATTATACACTAGTAGTTATCCAGTGATTACATGGAAGCATCTTTCTTAGTGCTGTGATCAGCAGTAGGTATCCTCTTCATAACACACGGCCTCCAGCGTTACTGGCCACATTTGCCTGGTCAAATGATAACTGTAATAGTCTAATCATTTCCAGGGCCGTGAATGTAAATAATGTAGACATTGAGTTGCAGAAATTTTTAGGTGAGCTGAATGTATAATCACATAGGGACAAACCTGTTGTGTCTGAAAGTCTGCAGGCTAAGTTGCTGACTATTGTCTTTATTAATCATATATATAAGATGAATGAGCAACAGACACTACTGCACAAAACAGTTCTTGGAACAGTCTTACAGCACATGGGCAATCGTGAGCTCACAGTTACATTTTAGCTTATCTCAGAGAGTCATCCACATATACACCAACTTCTACCACACCACCTCTTTCCCACACTTAGAGACATAGAGTCATAGAGATATACAGCACCGAAATAGACCCTACGGTCCAATTCATTCAAGCCGACCAGATATCCTGTATAAATCTAGTCCTATTTGCCAACATTTGGCCCATATCCCTCTAAACCCTTCCTATTCATATGCACATCCAGATGCCTTTTAAATGTTGTAATTATACCAGCATCCACCACTTCCTCTGGCAGCTCATTCCATACACGCACCACCCTCAAAAAGTTGCCCCTTAGGTCCCTTTTAAATCTTTCCCCTCTCACCTTAAACCTATGCCCTCTAGTTTTGGACTCCCTCACCCTGGGAAAAAGACCATGGTACAGTTGGTTCTGATATAGTTCAATAGTTCCATCAAAATTGGCCTCCGTCCAATTTAGAAATTTAACTTTTAGATCCGGTCTATGCTTTTCCGTCACTATTTTAAAATTAATAGAATTATGGTCAGTGGCCCCAAATTGCTTCCCCACTGACACCACAGTCACCTGCCCTGCCTTATTTCCCACGTGCAGGTCACATTTTGCATCTTCTGTAGCAGATACATCCAAATACTGAATCAGAAAATTTTCTTGTATACACTTAACAAATTCCTCTCCATCCAATCCCTTAACACCATGGCAATCCCAGTCTATGTTTGGAAAATTACAATCCTCTGTCATAACCACTCTGTTATTCTCACAGATGACTGAGACCTCATTACAAATTTGTTTCTCAATTTCCTGCTGACTATTAAGGGGTCTATATTACAATCCCAATAAGGTCATCATCCCTTTCTTCTTTCACAGTTCCACCCAAATAACTTGCTGGGATGTATTTCCAGGAATATCTTCTCTAAGTACAGCCGTAATTATACTTAGTTAAAAGTGCCACTCGCCCTCCTCCCTTGCCCCCTTTTCTATCCTTCCTATAGCATCTATACCCTGGAACATTGAGCTGCCAGTCCTGTCCATCCCTGAGCCACATCTCTGTAATTGCTGTGATATCCCAGGCCTATGTTCCCAACCATGCCCTGAGTTCATCTGCCTTACCTTTTAGGCCTCTTGCATTGAAATAAATGCAGTTTAATTTATCAGTCCTGCCTCATTCTCTGCTTTGTTCCTGCCTGCCCTGACTGTTTGACTTACTCCTTTTCCCAACTGTATCAGTCTCAGACTGATCTCTTTCCTCACTATTTCCCTGGGTCCCGACCACACCCCCTCCCCTGTCCTTTACTAGTTTAAATCCTCCTAAGCTGCTCTAGCAAATCTCCTTGCCAGTATAACAGTCCCCTTCCAACTCAGGTGCAATCTGTCCTTCTTATCCAGGTCACTTGTACCCCACAAAAGATTCCAATGATCCAAAAATGTGGATCCTTCTCCCCTGCACCAGCTCCTCAGCCACGCATTCATCTGCTCTATCCTCCTATTCCTACCCTCCCTAGTTTGTCGCACCGGAAGTAATCCAGATATTGCTACCCGTCAGGATCTCCTTTTTAAATTCCTGCCTAACTTCCTATATTCTCTCCTCAGAATCTCATCCTTATCTCTTCCTATGTCCTGTGTTAGTTTCAATGTGTACAACCTCCTGCTGGTCCTTGTTGTCTTTGAGAATATCCTGCACCCTCTCCAAGATATCCTTCATCCTGGCACCAGGGAGGCAACGCACCGTTTTGATGTCTCGCTGTCAGCCGCAGAAATGTCTGTCTGTGCCTCTGACTAGATAGTGCCTTTTCACAATCAATTGCTTGGAACCTGGCGTACCCCTCATTACATTAGAGCCAGTCTCAGTACCAGAAACCTGGCTGTCAGTGCTACATTCCCCTGAGAGTCCATCACCCCCTACATTTTCCATAACAGCATACTTGTTTCAGATGGGCATAGCAACAGGAGACTCCTGCACAACCTGCCTCCCTCTCCTACCTTTCTTGGAGGACACAAACGTGCAAAGGCAACAGAACAAAATAGGTCATAAAATCCAAAATTGTGGAACTGGATGTCAAATCTGGAAATGCTAACTCTCTGACACTTGCTCCTACCTCCAGCTGGGCCATGACGCCACAACAAACATAAAGCCAAAACAGTCACTAATTTCATTTCGTCCAGTGAAATAGTGAAAATAGGATAATGTGTGAAATGGAGAGATGCAGAAACGGGGAAATAGAGAAAATATAGATAACTAATAAAATTTTGCAAATTTTAGAACACATTATTTTAATGTCATTACTGAGGACGATTTCCCTCCATGACTTCGCACCCCAATTCCCTAACCCTGTACAGCTCATTTCTGTTTTCTAAGATCATAAATCACATTGCCCTGGAAGATCTATTGTTTAAACCTGGTTGCCCCACTAAGCTGATGTTTCCTGTCTTGACTCCATTCACTTTCCCCCTTTTACAGTCTTTCCCCACTTACGTCAGTGACTCCTCCATCACTAGAAATGTTTCAGTCTCATGTCCCTGACCACCACCACTTTCACCATGGACGTCAAATTTCTCTATCTCCAGACTGCTATGAGGCTATCCAGTTCTTCCTTGGATGGATGCCCAATCGGTTTCCATGAACAATTTGGGCATCCTGCCTGGTGAAACCTATTCTGTCATTGAAAAAAAAATCTTCTTTAATTTATCTCACTTCCTCCAAATAAAAACTGTTCCTTTGTAAAGGACCTAGCTCTGCCTGTCATTTTCTGGAATATGTGAAACACATCATACTGCACAGGGCCCCCTTCCTTAATTATTTTTCCTGGTATACTGATTGTATTGGTCCCACCTCATACCCTCATCCTGGATTGGAAATTCGCTGTGAAATTCCGTTCCTCTCTCAGTTTCACATGGTGCATTTCTGACTCTTCCCTTTCCTTCCTCAAATTTTCTGTCTCTATTTCTGGCCGTAGACTAATAACTGATATTGGTTACAAACGTACTGATTCTCACAGTCACAACTGTACTTCTTCACATTTCATTCCATTCTATTCTCTCAGTTCCTCCAGTTCCATCATATCTGTTCCAGTGATGCAGCTTTCCACACCAGCATTTCTGAGATGTTGCCTTTTTATCCTAAATTCAGGATTATCCTCCATTATGATTGATAGCGACCTTAACCATCGATGGCTGCCACATTTCTGCTCACACCCTCTCCCTTCTTCTGAAAACATGATGAGGTTCCCTGTGTCCTCTCCTTCTCACCCACCAATCTCCTTATTCAACAGCTAATTTCTGTAAAATGTGTCACCTTTTACCATCAAACACATCTTTGCCTCCCCTTTCAGAGTACTGAGGGGATCATTCCCTCCATGATACCCTGGTCCACTCTTCAATCACCCTGTCCCTTTCTCAGGGCACCTTTCAATATGAGTACAGAAGATGTAAAACCTACCTTTTACCTCCTCTTTCCTCACTGATCAGAGTCTCAAATCCACCACCCAGCTGAAGCAGTAATTTACATTTATTTCTTTCAATGTAGTCTACTGTATTTGCTGTTCTCATTGTGGTCTCCTCTACATTGGGAAGATTGAATGCAGATTGGGCAGCCACTTTGTGGAACATCCACGCTGAGTCCACAGGCATGAATCTGAGCGTCAGGGGGCCTGTCAGTCTCCACTTTGCTGACATCTCTGTCCCCAGCCTACTCTGTTACAGTGAAGTTCAACATAAGTTTGAAAAACAAAACCTTTCAATTTGGCACCACTGGGTCTCAGCATTTGAGTTCAACAATTTCAGATCATAAACTCTATCCTCCATTTTGTTTCTTTCTCTTTGCATGTTATTTTTGTTGTCAGTCAGCAACACACCTATTCTCACCACATCTTTAGCTCCTTCTTTTCTCTTGTCCCATCACCATTCTCTTTGACGCTGGAGGACTAACTCTGTGTCATTCAATCTCTCCTGTCTCTCACCCTATAATAGATCTTCCTTTTGTTCTTACAACCCCTTGCTCAAAATCAAAATTGATTAGATTGCTAACTTCTCCTAACCTTAAATGTGCTGGATCTGCTGTATATTTCCTGTATTTTACTGCGGTAAGTTGGGGCCCAATGGTTAGCAATCCTTCCAACAGTTCCTCTCTCCCTAATCTGTCCAGAATCCTCTCAATTTTGATGCCTCCATCAGATACCTTTTCACTTTTCTCTGAAGAACATTCCCAGCCACTCTAATCTATCAATGAGGAACTCATCCCTGGAACCATACTCATGATTTTTTTCTGTACCCTCTCAAATACTTTCACATCCTTCCTCTGGTGTGGTCCCCAAGGCACTGGACACAATGCCAGTTGAGCCTCAACTAGTGTTTTATCCAGGTTTATCATCACTTCCTTGTTTTGGTGCTCTATTTATAAAGCCCAATGTCCCATAAACATTATTAACCACAGACTCAGTCTTGTTTGATTTGTGCATTTACATCTCTGTTTTGAATGAAATCTTGCCACTTTGTCTTAATATTCCATTGCATCCTGTCAGTGATTACCATGGATGAATGTGAAGATAAAAATGTTTTTATCAATGAAGTTGTTGAATTGATTTAAGAAGGGAATGAAGCTGTTTTACAATAAAGTCTCAACTCTTTTAACAGAAGTTGAAAGAACATGGGAACATTCTTCATGTGCCACCACTCAGCACCACTGAAATAGAGAAAATAATAGGTTATTGGTTGGAAAAAGACCATCGAAGACTTACAACTGACCAGCTGCATTTACTGTTGGAAGCCTGCTCTGCCTGTCCTACCCCTCTCTATCTCCAGTGTGCATACAGGGAGTCCCTCAATTGGCAATCCTCCATCCCAGTCTCAGACATATTTCTGCCCCAAAGTCTACATCAGTTGTATTCAGCCATTCTTAGTAGAATGGAGAAGGAACACGGAGTAGAGCTTGTGAAGAAAGTAGTGGGGTTGCTGACGTTGTCAAGAAATGGCATCACGTTGGTTGAAATGACTGACCTGCTATCTCTGGACCGGGTGGTCATGCAGGAGATCCAGCAGTTCCAAAATGTCTCAATTCCCAAGTTCCCTCTGGTACTTTGGATGAAACTTCTAAGAGACTTGAACATCCACATTACAGAGTGCAGGACAGACAACACTTATACATTTAACTGGTCTCATTCAGCACTGAAACTTACCTGCTTGAAGAGGTACTTCTTATCCAGTGATACCCAACTAGCTTTACACATGACCATAGCAAACTACTTTTTGGGGAAACCAACTATTCTCCCAGGAGAATCAAACAACTGTAGTCAGCAAGAGGAGCCAAACGGTCACCCTCTGGCCTGGGTGCTTGAAAAGGATTCTGAAGTCAACCGTATGTTTAATCTACGGAAGCTGAACGGAATTCCATACCATCTTTTGAGGTCGAATCAAGTATCGACCCTGATAGCTGACTGTCTTTTTAATTTTGAGTTTTTGCTACACAAAGCGTGGGGTATGTCTATTGTCAGTGTGGAGGAAGATCTCAAAGCAACAATGCTGCTAGAGAGGTAAGGTGGTGAAGTCCATTCAAGGTAAACCTCAGATGTGTGTGACATCAAATGTTATAGGTTCTCACAAAGGACGTAAAGTATAGCTTCCAATATGTCAACTTTGATCATTCTTTCTTGTAAACAGACTTGTCTCTAGAAACAGGAATTTATGATGTCCCATTAGCGTGAAGTGTCACTCCATACTGATTGGATATACTTTTTTAAAATATTGAGCATAACCCCCTCCTTTCTCTGTATATCTGCTGGCTGTGCATGTCTTGTCACACATCTTTTAACTTTGCCAGCATTATGGCATCTATATTATTGCTGAACGTCTGGAAATTTGATTGGGGGAAATGGTGGTGTCATGCCAGAGTCACAAGACAAGACTAGTCAGACAGAGGCTCAGACAAATGCTCATGGGGCACGGGTTCAAATCCCACCGTGGAATTCAGACTCAGTCAACAAAATTGGAATTCAAAGTTGGTCTCGGTAATGGTATGATAAAACTACCATCAATTGATGTAGTTCAACAGACCCGTTTAGTGAAAGAAATCTGCTGTCTTTATCTGATCTGGCCTACATGTGACTCCAGATCTAAAGAAATGTTACTGACTCTTAATGGCTCCCTCAAATGGTCTACAAGCCACTCAGTTCGAGGGCAATTCAGGATGGAGAACAATGGCTGGTACCGATCTCCTGTGAAATAATAAAGAAAAATTAAACAATGCCTGAGACTCATGGTCCATTAGTTGTAATGATGTTTGAAGATGAAATCCCTGATCACATGTGAGAAATCTTTAACTTATTTTGGTATATTTAACTTATTCAGGACCTTGTGGTGATACTTGTTCACATTGATGATGGTGACTATGTGGTTCCACTGTCACCTTGGAGTTTGTCAGAGGGGCTTCTGGCCTATGGTGGACAGACATTGTCTTTCCTCCTCATTCATGGAATGTGGGTGTCGCTGGCCAGGCCAGCATTAATGTTCATCCCTAGTTGCCCAGAGGCAGCTAAGGGTCAAGCACATTGGGTCTGGAGTCACTTGTAGGCCAGACCAGGTAAGGACAGCAGTTTCCTTCCCTAAAGGACATTAGTGAACAAGATTGGGTTTTCCAACAATCAACAACAGGTTCATGGTCATCATTAGACTCTTATTTCCAGATGTTTATTGAATTCAAATTCCACCATCTGTCATGCCAGGATTTGAACTCAGGTACCCAGAACGTTACCTCAGTCTCTGGATTAACAGACCAGTGATAATACCACCAGGCCATCATCTCCCCGTGGGGAGGCCTGTAATGTAACATTAGGGCCTGTAATGTTGTGTTTAAGAACTTTGGAGTATACTCTTTCTCCTCTGCCATAATTCACTCTGTCTTGCTGAGAGCTTCTTCCACAAATATTTCCACATACATTCCATCCAGAATGCAAACCCTCACCTCATGCTCCCAACCTTTCGGGAGTTCAGGCTGGCTTTAAGCAGCATAGTTTGGTTTTAAGTAATGCCCCTGCTGAGGCCTGCAGTCACCCAACAGAGCCTTTGGTTGCTAAACTGTCATTTAAATCAGATGCCGTCATGAAGTTTCTGTGTTGTCTGCATCAAGACCGAGCAGCACAGCTTGATCTTTCATTGCAATCCCGGTGCCCATTTTGCCCATAGACTCTGGTGCCCATGAGGGAAGGAAATCTGCCATCCTTACCTGTTGTGGCCCACATGTGACTCTAGACCCACAGCAATGTGGCTAACTTTTCCCTCTGGGCAATTAGAAGTGGACAACAAATTCTGACCTAGCCAATAACTCCTGCATCCCGTAAACATACAAAAAATTCTGAGGATTCCAAACAATGGATTTTCCAAAACAAATATTTAATCAGTTTCAGCTTCATCCCACATTATCCATTGAAAGTGGTTTAGCAGCTCTTCAGAAATTGAAAGCTTCCTACTCCTTCACTGAATATGTAAAGATGAAACATTTGTTCAATGTGTAATTTGACTCCCCCCACATCTATTCAATACTAATTATCCATTGTATCTAACAATAGAATCAGTTGGCCAACTCAACACATGGATTTCCTTGGCAGTGTTAAAATGTGCCAAAACATTGTTTTGCGCACACCTGTAAAGATTGAGTGGATTTTAATGCTTCCCTGGAAGGAAGGATGGGCGGATATAATGGGGAAGGGGGAGTTGTTGGGGAGGTACAGTGTGGAGATCCTGTTACCTTCCTAACCATCAACACCTCTCCCTCCCCTGGCCTACACCCCTCAGCATGATGAAGGTGAGGAGAATCAGAAAAGGCCAATTGAGGGTTTCTGTGGCAACTTTAAGGTCCTTATTTCCTGCCACTGGTTTCAAACAGCGAGAGATGATGGGTCTTGTCATGTGAACAGTAAACAATTCACCAAGTAAATCCTGGCAATGCCATGCCTGTGGCCTGGTGTTGGGAGGTCACTCTTTGGACATTCTTAGCCCGATGAAAGGGCCTGCCAGAGGCAAGTAATGGACCTGGGGAAAGACACCATCTTCTCCTGACAACGACCGAACTTCCCTCCCTCACTGGGGGCCTCCCTGACTGGTTCTGGCAATCTCACCTCATTCCTTTTGGCCCAGGGGTCTGCAGTGGCAATTTCTTTAGGGTAAGCCCCATTGCAGTATCAACGCAAGCCACTGCTCCAGTAGCAATGGAGATATTGGAAAGCTGCTGGCCTCTGGCTGACAGCTGTTTGGGATTTTCAGTGCGAAGTTGCCCCTGGTGGAACCAGGAACCTTGCCTGATTGGAAGGTAATGTCAACAGGTCTCCTGGAAAGATCTGTGTCTGGGTTCCCATTGCTATCCAGCCAAAAGATAGACTCACCACTGCAATATGTAAATTTTGATCTCCAAGGCAAGGGTGCCACACAATGACTCTGTAAATATAGAAATTGTCAATATTATTGGAGGCAAATCACTTTTTTTATATTAAGTAGAATACAAGTCTGATTTCTGTTGGTGTAATTGCAATGGTTCAGTTCTATGTGCTTGGCACCATTCTTCCAAATTTAACAAGTTGTTTCTATTGATTGACTTTAAATTTTCTAAAGAGCATTAGCTGTAGCAGAATAAAGATTTCATCTTCTAAAATGAACGAAAGAAATTTTTCCATATTTACAGCAGTGGCTCCTGGAGTGGGAAGTCACAAGTGAATTTGAACAGTACTTTTGAGAGAATATCCAAAACACAAAGCCTATTAACTAAGTTTTTAATGATCTTTTTGAATATATTGCATAATTCAAAATATTGAGTGTTAACTAATGGCACCTTAAAGTTCATTTCAGTTATTTATTGTGTTTCTTGGCTATAGCATATGCTATAATAAGCAAAGAACAAATTACATTAAGTTTAACCATGGCTTGAATCTATTACAACTGATAGAAATCAATATAATTTCACCGCTTAACATTACACCTAATTTTGCTTAGGGCCATCTTTTGAGTAAAAGCTTTATGGTTCCCTATTAGCTCTGTTGGTTCAGGCAATGTGTAGCTCATTAAGACAGACCCAGGAAGTGATATGTGGTCAGCTAGTTATTCTTACCTATGGCAACAGTAAGCATTCTACAATTAATCATGGCACCATGTTTTTAAGAAGGAGAATTTGGCAGGTTTTCTGACCAGTGAGGAAAAACGTAGCTTCATGGTACCTGTCAGTGCTTTTCATCCTTATTGAACTATATTTGAATCCTTATCTTGTATTGCACACATTTTGCAACTAATTTCTACCTCTATTAAATTTTTTCATCCACCCCTTAAAAACCCCAAGCAACATCCTCTGAGATATCTGCCAGTGATACCTGATTGGTAGGCAATGAGAAGCATGTTACCCTCTGATTGTTTTATTTCTCTCCTTGGCAATGTGCCATGCCTGAGCTTCCTGCCTTTCCAGACAGGCAGACTGAAAGTTGTAGTTTGCCATCTAGCGAATGATAGTCTTTATTTACTCTTTACTCATCACATCTAACTCCTTGACATTCTGCTTCATGTTTGATGACTGTAGATATCTGTTGTATGAATTACGTTACATCTCAAAACACAATATGATTTTAAAACAAATTTGCAAACTATACAGAGATAATAGGAACTGCAGATGCTGGAGAACCTGAGATAACGAGGTGTAGAGCTGGATGAACACAGCAGGCCAAGCAGCATCAGAGGAG